ATGCTGATGAGAGAATATTGTGCTGTTGCACTGACGGATACGGCTCAATGCTTCTTCATGCTGGAGGACATACTATTATGAAGCTTCATTGCCTTCCCTGTGCGACTTCGAGTGTGGCTCACCACCTCCATATAATGCCAGGGCTCTTCCTGCAGCCCCCCTCCGAAGCCTGTAATGATGATTTTCAGATCCTCTCTCACTACCTTAAGTTAGAAGAAGTGTAGTTCCAAGAAAGGCATTACAGCTGCCTGTGAGAGACTCCACCTGACTCACCTGATGATGGTTCCCAGGGTGCAGGTATTAAAGGGGACAGTTCAATAACTGGCTGTTAATATTGTTTCTGCTTTTAAGAGGAAAAAAGTAGATTACTATCCCAATTTTTTCCCTGTCAATGTCTAGGAGAACATCTGAAAACTGCTTGGGAACAGAAACAAAGATTTTCCAGCATTACAGACTGTGGGAAAGGATTATCCTCAGTGAAGTAGCTTTAAATCCCATTTCATTTTAAAAGCTCCTACTTCTATTCTTCGTTTTTATTTCTGTTTCTAAAGTCTTTGGTTGTGCTCTCCCTTGGGGTCAATCACATATCCCCTGAGAAATCTGGGGGTGGAAAGACAAGAAAATTTCAGGAAATCTCTTCCTTAGCCTGTATTTATCATTGTTGAGCTCAAGTATTTCTCCAGAGAGAAAAAACCTAAGTATTTGGAAATATATTCTTTTTCTGCCACTGTTTATATTGCAGCCAAAGGCTTTTTATCCATGCCTACTAGAACAGTGACCAGCTGGCATCTGCTCAAGGGAAGAGACACATCAGAAAGGTGCTTCACTCTGCAACTGCCACTTCTTTTATATGGCAGTAAATACACATTGGGCTTCTCAGAAAACACATGAGCACTAAGCGCTACTTTTTTTTTATGCTTTGTAATTTATTCATAACCAGGTTGTCTTCACTTATTTGTTTGTCTCTTTCTCACTGACTTCTGGAGAAATGCCATTTTTCATTTCACTTGCTTGGATATGCTTTGAACCAAGTTCTTGCCCATGTTACTAAATATTTAGACCATTCTGAAACTTCTATGCCAAAGGGCAAGAAATGTTTTTAGACAAAATCCTTTCAGTTCCAAATTGTCTTGGATGGAGGCCAGATACATACACTTTCTTCTGAGGTATATCTTCAGTGGGTTCTCCAAAGCTTGAGAGTCCTTCTTTTTAAAGATTTATAATCCCTAATAAAAGATTCAGTCACTTTAAGAGACTGTCCAGCCATTCTCTGGTGCTTCTTTGAAGCAAATTACGCATTTAAGATTGCACATGCACAATATAAAATCACCTAAAGCCTGGGAAAATCTGCTTTGTAGTGGAAGCATTGAAGCAGATACTTAAGGGCTCAAAGAAAGGAAAGATACCATCAAGAACAAAGATCTATTATGCGGTTCATACTAAAGGAAGGCCTGTTTATACCTATACACACTGTTCTACAAGTATGTTCCCATCACAGATTCAGGAAGCTAACACTACAAACAAAAAAGAAGTAGTTACAGCTTACCTGCCAGAGCATCTGCTAGAAAGGATATCATAAACAGGAATTTCCTCTGTTCCTGAAATTAATGGGTTTTCTATTCATTTGATGGATTTTTCAAACAAAAATGTCCCTGTTCTATTTCTTTCTCTGCCTTGTTCTTTTCATTCTACTTCTTATGCACACGACATAAAACTATCACATGAAACAGTTGCACAGATTTCTGTATTTAGGTGGAACAAGTATGAAGTGATGACAGTTTTTTTGTTCCGCTCACCACTACCAAAGGATTCTTTGAATTTCTGGGGTTTTTTTGTACTCTCCACCAGCAATATTACCTACTGCTTAATACAAGTTGCAAACTCCCAATTAAATAGTTGCATATCGTTAATCGTCTATACACAGGCCTATTTTGTCAGCACATGCCAAACAGTGTGTTTGAATGGATGTGATGCTACCAGTGACTTCAAGCTGATGCATACCATGCATATGAATCAAAACACAGAACTTAGCCCAAAGGATTGTGAAAAGGCAGCAGGCCAGTTCAGCTTGGATTTTGCTTTCCATTATAAACCTGACTCTGATTCCCATCCAAAATCTTCAAAGAACATCCTCTGCGCTTCAAAGGTTTCATGCTTGGCCATTTGGGAGTATCTTCTACAGATGACCAGAAATACCTATCAGATTCCAGGGAACTTTGAAAAGATGCCAAAAGAGGCTGTTTAAAAAGCAGTGATTTTCATGCCTCTTTTTCCCTTCTGAAGATAGCCTTAAAACACATTCTCATCATTAATGAGTTTTTTTTCATAGTGATTTTTTTTTTTCTGGACAACAGGGGGAAGAATTGATCTTTTCTTTCTGCCAGTAACCATGTCACCAGCGATGGTCTTTGCCAGTGATCAATCACATCAGTGTGCCTGATGCAACTTAGCTTTTCCTAAGATGGACACCACCACAGTGGCAAGAAAAAAACTCAGGCAATCCTCCCTACACATTCCTTTCAACCAAGCCCTGTTTGGGAGATGTCTTATGGAAAGCAACCCCACTTGATGGAGCATTTTGAAAAGAGATTATGACTTCTCTCTTTCTGCTTATGTTAATGGATCTAGAGCACTGGGTCCACTGTGTAGACTGGAAATACTCAAGAGGGAGAACGTTCACCCTTCACCCAGGAGTGACTATAAATCTCTGGACAAATGGATCAATTTAATGTGTTTCAATGGTCTCCTCTTCAAAGCTATTTCAAGATAGATTTGGCCACCATTTTTAACAGAAACAGCAGGATCAGCCCAAAGATCTTGAGAACTTGAGAAGCGTTCTGGTGGTAGCACTTCTCTGGTAAAAGAAGTAAAAGTTTATCAGCAAAAGGGAGATTTTGCTAGACTTTAGTTCTTTTTTTTTCATTCCTTTCACACTCAAACATCTGTTGGTAACATGTATTTACAAAACAAACACCTAGTCTGACGAAACATGGTAAGTATGAAATATTACTCTTCCCATTTATTCTTGTAATACTGCATCAAACTTTCAGAGACAAGTTCAGTCAAGGGTATGCCCAGCACAACTTAGAAGAGCTGAGCTAATCCGTGTTTGCTGAAATGATCACGTAGGAATGGCTCCATTGTTTGAAGACCATCCAGAACAGACTGTCTCAGGCTCTGCCCCTTTTTTATATTATCACCTTCTTCAACAACCTTACATGAGTGTTGAGAAACAGGAAGACATGCCAGTTGTCCTTCCAAGACAATTTTAATGTTCTTATGCCCAGATGAAATATCACAAAGGACAATCTCTTACATTATTTTGATTGTACTTAGACAACAGCTCAGCAGGACACGACTGATGACTTTGTGGGATTAAACACGTATATGGGCAAGTTCAGACTACAGTGGATTCTTGCTAACATGCCTGTGTTTTAGTAGAAGCCACCAGAGTCCTGAAGTCCACCACAAACACCGCCTTACAGGGCATTCATGGAGGCAACATATGCTTTCAGGCAAATTTATCACTGAACAACCCTCTGAGGAGCACTTAAAACCATCGGCAGTGTTAGGAAGACTTGTTTCCATCTGCCTTTTTCTAAACCAGAAGCCGATTACCCAGAAGCTAACTATCTGCTGTCTCATACAGCAGTAAAAGGTGTGTTGTGAAATGGGAACAGACATGAATATAAATTCCAAGTAATATTGGAAGCTATGAGAGTTACTTTCACACCAGAGGACTTTACAAAAAGGAAGCACGGTATTTTCCAAGTGTTTAAGATTCAGTTCTTACCGGCAGTGAATGAAGTCGGGAACAGGATTATGCTGGCTAAAAGATGCTGCATCAAGATTCATGCAAATTTCCACATTGTCTCCAGCCATGATCCGTACTGCAGCTTTATTTTCATCCTCGAATGTCTGCCTTTGTAAGGATGCACACAGCAGCAACATGAAATCATCTAGGAGAAAGCAGTGGTTGCAAGGAAAAATTCAGTCATTAACTTAGTTGTAGGAAGGGGTGGTGATACATTTTATTGTAGTTATCAGACTCTTTTCCCACACTTTGAACCTCCAAGGCTATGTTATTTTCAACGCATTTAACACCAAATTGAAATTTATTAATGCATTTAGGTTTTTTACCTGTCATCTTCTATGCTTTTTTATCGAGAAATAAATTAGAAAAGGGGAAATAATTAATACTTTTTGATGCCGCTTCGTTGAAAATGGGATATGGAAAAAACAGATGCAAAAATTACTAATTCTTTGAATTTTTCTACCACATACAAAGCCACACTTAGTATTCAGTCTCCCACAGTCATTGTGCTACTGAAGAGTAAATAAAGGACTGGCTTCAAATTACTCTGTACAGATGTTTTAAGCAAAGGAGACATAAACACTTCACAACTCTGTGCTAAAAGACTTACAGACAAGGAAGACAGGGTTTGGTCTCACAATGAAGTCTGGAAAGTATAACCACTTTATGATGTTGGAGTTGAAGTTGGCATTACCACTTCTCCATGGATAGTCTGTATGACAGAAACATGCAAAAATGCAATCAGTACTTAATAACAATTACGTCATCCTTTTATTCTGAACACTTATCAATTTTCCAGCACTTTTCTGTAAAAGCAAGCAGCACTAATTGTCCATAAAGGGTAAGTGTCCTTACCTTTACAAGGAGCAGGGGGGATGCCAATGCAAAGGAAGTACTGGAATGTAATGATGCATGCCAGAAAACAGCAGTATTTTGGCCAGATCTCCGCAATAGCTTTTCTTCTACGTCGATACAATACAGCTATCAGCCAGAAGGCATGAATCATGGCATAAAAATCCATTCGTTGACCAATTACATTCACTGATAGAAGAAAACAGGTCTGGGAAAGAGGTAAAGAAACATAAGCAACATTTTCAACCTGATGGCAAGTCAATGAAGCAATGACAAACTATTCTGGATTTTGATAGAATGCTTGGACACATGCTGGGGCTTACTGCAGGAACCCTGTGCAAATCAAGGCACTAAACCAGTTTGCATCTCTCCAACAGCAACCTCCCACGCCCCCACAACATCCCAAATGTCAATACTTTCCTATGAGTGTCAACTATGTGAATATAGCACTAAAGCAGTTTTCCATTATGTCATATCTAAACATACAGAATGGAAAGAGCATTGTCACAGTAGCCTATATGTGAAATATTTAATTGTTGCCAAGCAAAGCACATATTACACAGCCATGTATTTTGATAGCACTTACAGATGTGAAAAAGGAGAGAAACTATTAAGAGTAACAACAACTAAAGTGTATCCTCATGTGGGAACCAGACAAAAAGAAAAGGGATTCAGCCCATACAACTTCTGTTGGCTATAGACAAACCCAGTCAACTGTTGTAAGGCAGCTTTAGTTCTCCATTCTTCTAAAGGCTCTGCATCCCAGAGCATTTCTGTTCTCTGGCTCCACTTAAAGCAGTCCCTTCACTTAGTGCCACGAAGCATGTTTTCAAATTTAGTGAATAATTCAGAGTGAATCATTTATTCAGTGCACTTCACTACTTTCATTTTCTCTCTCCTCAGATTAGGATGAGGTTTAATATATTTCCCAAAGGAAATAGCTTGCAGATTAATTTTAATTTTCACTCATTCGTAATCCTCAGACTGGCTGTGAACAGTTTACGCTGTTTATCAGTAGCAAGGGGTGGTAGTGTTTAACAGATAGGTCAAGAGCATCATTATGGTTAGATTTGGGATGCATTAGCCTAGGAGTTGCCTTCTGCAGACAGTCATAGAAATTTGTGAAAAATCACGATTTCTACAAACATTTGTGAAACTACATCTCATGTGAACAAACAGACAAGGTAAGGGAACAGACACGGCACTTGTTCAGCAATAGCTTGTCTTCAAGGCAGGTTCAGTTCTGATGTTTTGCTGCTGGACTGAGTGAAGCTGATCGAAGGAATACATTAGCTGAGCCTAAACCCCAGCAGTCTGGGCCAGTGCTGCTGGCAAACAGACAAGCAGATCTTCTACTAAATAAGACAGCTACCAGATATTTATGATACATCATGGATCTTCAGAAAGATCCCTTCACTCTTTTGTACCTGCCTCTCCTAATTCTCTGTGTATTTCTTGTCTACTGAAAAGTTCTTTGGAGAAAGAACTTTGTCTTCGCTAGTGGCGCAAAGCAGCAATAACCTTCACTGGAGCTCTTGCTCCTGCAGATTGCTAACAGCTATAGTAACAAGTATAAAAAAGAAGGATGTCTTTTTTGTGCAGCCAGAGGCAAAAGAAGCTTAGAAATGTTTAAATAGAAACATTTGCCTGCTAGCCCCTGCTTTCTTCTGCTGCTCCTGAAGTGCCTGGTTCCCTCTGTGTGTGTGTATGAGAGGGTATGCCTCAGTTCTGTCCCTTGTCCCATCTGCTATCCCTTTTGTTGAGTTATAAATAAGACATAAAAGAAAAGCAAGAGGAAAACCACTACTAGGAGATAGATAGCAACTGTGGCAAGGTCCAACATGAGTGATGACTAAGAAGCATCCAGCTGTAAAACATAGTTCAAGTTAGTATTTAAAAATAACACAATCAAAAGGTTTAGAGTGATAGTCTAAAGAAAATTAACACGTAGTGATTTACCTCCAAACCAAACTTGTAGAAGAAATAGTTTATGAAATACTTGACGCAGTTTACCAGTCCATCATCCAGATGTGCTCTTGTAATATCATGGAAAATGGTTTTAGTCACAGGTGCGGTAAGGTTATTTCGACATCTGTAGTACTCTTGATGACGGTAGATCGTAACTTCAAAAGCCAGAATAGCCAGCATCAGTAAGTTATTCTATGGGAGACACAATCAAAAGAATATTAAATAAAAATCAAAACCACATGAAGCTACAAAATTTTCTGATATGCATAAATCCATGAATACTCAAATGGATGTTAGCACTGAGCACTCCTGTGCTCCAGGATGCACCAGCACCTATTCCCAGCTTCTGTCATTGAAACAAAGCAAGGTTCCTACCACTTCTTGGATTTTGATAAAACATACTGACATGCAGAAGATACATTTAAAGACATTAATTAAAAAAAGCTATAATAAGCACTAATTGTGGAAAGGAAGGGGAGAGAAAATCCATTGACCCATCCATGTGCCCTCTCATTTATCATAGCTTCTCTTATGATACTGTGCTTTGCTTTGCAGGAGATAGAGGATACAAACATACACAAAGCCACCTGCTGGGGTGGCACCAACTTCATAAAACTGCAAGGATGCTGGGTAATGCAAATATATCCTGGATACTCTTTTAAATGAACAGTCAGCACTCAGGCAGTCTTCACTCAGGCACAACTCCTTCTGTCCCAAAGCCAGATTGACTGGGATGCAGTCTTGAGCAGCTCTGAAGTGAGTTTTTTCTCTCATGAGGGATATCTGCCCCGTGCTCAATGGAAGAGAGGTATTAACCCACTCCAAAAGTTGGTTAAAAAGACCAGCTCAGAGAAAGTCCCTCAAGGAAGCCATAACTGAAGCTGAAGAGCCAATCTCTAGAGCTCTGTTCACTAAGAAATATTTGGGACAAGAATGTCCTGAGACAGGTGCCACTGGTTTTTTTTGTTTGCTTGTTTGGGTTTTGGGGTTTTTATTGACAAGCAGTTATTTTTGCTTGCTGTCCCTGGGCTTCCTATTCTTGTTGGGGAGAGTTTTACATAATCCAGCATAGACAGGCTCCTCACTTCAACACTGCAGATGTTTTGAATGTCTGTTATTAAAGGGGCATAACAGAAACACACCGAGACTTGAAGCTTGGGACCTTCAGGTCCAGCACTGAATTGAATTCCTCTATGTCAAGGAGACATTTTATTTTCTAACTCAATGAAAACTCTTCTAGAATAATTTCCAGTCGCAAAGTGTTATCTATTTATAGCTGTAAAGCTCCTAGCATCAAGCCAGGCACCAATAGGCAACTTCAAACTCTATGCAGAACTCTTGGGCCAGTAATTGCTCTTCCCCACATATATTCTTAACTGTGGGAGGTGCACGGCTCAGGGAGTGAGAGGCAGAGGCACTACCAGGGCCTGATACGTTGACGGCCAGAGCTTGGCAGGTCTTCCCTAAACAAACAAAGCACACAGAGGAAAGTTCTCAAAGAAGAAATGAGGAATAAATCTAGTTAGATCAGAACTTACTGTTCAATCCATAAATTTCTGACAACCTTAAACCGCATAATCAAAATTTTGGTGATTCTTTAAATTAAGAATAGGTATTCAAGGTTTTTCCCAGGACCTGGCACATTTTTATTGTAAGTAGGGTTTTTAACTCAAGACAGAAATAATAACATATTGCTCACTGGCATCAACCAAAAAAAAGAAGAAAAACAAAAGACAATCTATTTACTAGTGTCTGAATAAATGATTCCCTCAACTCATTATACTTCTAAGTTGTGGCTAAGGAATAAGCACTTAAAAAAATTAACTGCTTATAGCATATACTGTTATCCAAGGCAATTACTCCAATTAGACCCATCAGTCCTTTGGTACCTGAAAGCTATGTACCTCTTCATTACTTAGGGTTCTTAAATATCACATTTCTTATAGTGCTTTTAACAGATGGTAGAGTCAGAAAGCCACACTGCTGCATGTTGATTATCTTAATTGGTACTGAATCCCCTCTGGAAATGCCCTGTATAACAGATAAGGCTTTCTGCTGTCTCTTCCCCTTCTGCACTTCCCTATTATCAATGGCTTGCATTACATTTTTGTGTGTGGCAGGTAATTTATTTCAAAGACATTGCTCATTTCATCACAAATAGGAAAATATCTCAATACAGACAATTAAAGAAGTTACCCTTAAGTACACAAGCAGGGGATAAGACTTCCTCAATCCAACCCACTCTGCAGGATCAACTGGCCCACTGTAGAGGACCGAGGTTTTGAGTTCTTCTAAATTGACCTTAGTTTCATTCTCTCCTGGCTAAAAAGAAAATGCAACAGTTTATAAAAAAATGAGTTTAAGGCTGCTTGGGGAGGGAATGATAATCATCAATAATACACCAGGTGAACTGTAGTTTTCAGTACTTGATATGCTTCCTTTTGCTCTTCTTCATCGAAGAAGGCAGTAGTCAAACCTTTTTAATATGCACTTGTACTCACCAATGTACAGTTACTGGAAAAAGTGCTGGGGTCAATAGATGTGAGCTGGTACAACATTTTGCAGACAATAATCACACATGTCCAAACAGTGCAGATACTTGATGCCAATGGGCGAAACTGAGCATATGGCAAAGCAAGAGCCCAGGCAATTAAAAACACAAAGTTAAACAGAGACACCTGAAAACACAAAAACAGGATGGAAATTACATGGAGTAACAGAGAACTGAGGAAGTCTGACCTTTTCCATAGTAATTAAAAAAAAAAAATCATTCAGAAGAAAGGGACATAGAGAAACTGTGAGAAAAATAGAAAAATTTACAACAATATCTACAGTAACACAGACACAAAGTGGTAAGTGAAGAAGGGAAAACTTAATAGTTGGTTTAGGAAGAATGTTATCTTCTACAGATTATTAATATCCTTACACCCACAAAACTGCATACCCACCCTACAAACAACAGATGTGAAATACGAGGGACCACATGTTGGTTCTGCTGCTTTAGTAGACATGAAACAGAGAAGAGATGATACAGACCCATGTGTCTGTGGAAACCACCTTCATCCTCTTGACCTTTTCTCCCCCAAAGATGTGAGAAAAAAGATTTTTTATTTTGCTGTTTAGTGAATCTTGCCCTGCTACCCTGTTTAAAGAATGGCTATATCAGGTAAAGAACTCACACTGCCCACACCAAAGGCACAGCTAAAAGCGTGGCTTTCTTTTTCTTTAGGTGTAGTTCCTCAGTCCTGTTTCTTCAGCACCAGACCCAGTTTAAATAATTTTCCTAGATGTCCCCTCCCAATCCTTTTCTACACCCTCCATCCCTGCATGATGTCCACAGACTGCTTGAGCAGGGGAGGGATTACATCTCTTCAATCCAAAGAATCAGAATAACAAAACCTTAATATCTGGTGAAACAGGGAGGGCTGAGAATACCTAGGCAGACAGAATATTACTGTGGAAGAAGATATCAAGGCAGGTCCCCAGCAGCTGACAAGCCCAGCTGGATCCCACAATCTCAGTGAGGTCTGAAATGAGAAAGGTATCTCCCTACGCTTAGGTGTGCCACTGCTCAGCAGATGCTGACAAGCCTCCACCATGGGTAAGATTTTGATAGCAGGTGTTTACTTGCCTCTTTCACTGTGACCCAGATGATGTAAGAGGAAACAATTTTGATGATGTGCAGCTCCAACAGCCACCACACAAAGACTTGCATCTTATGAAAATACTCCAGGAATTTCAAAAACAGCACTGTAAGGCGGTCGATCACCAGATGCCATTTGTTCCTTAAGTCTGCAGAGATGTTCAAGCAGAACCATTGGGAGGAGAGAAACAGAAGGTCTCTGTAAAAAGGAATGCTCCACTAGACAGCAATGAGCTTTCTGTTTCTTTTCTTCTAGGCCTTAGAGCAAGACATGAAGGAGGCTAAAGATATGGCTCAGTGGTTAACTCAGACAAAATGGGGTTGAGGTCTACTCAGCTGTGGTGCTCTCCCTTCTGACTCACTTTCACTGAAAGGATTCCCCACTTCAGAAGTGGTGGTGCTGGTGGCTTCCCTTGCTAATTCTGCTTTTATTCCTCTCTAGCAGAGCCCTTCTTGGGCTCCATTTTCCTCCAGTATGTTTGGACCTAAGCTTAGGGATCCCACCCAGGGACTAGATCTGAGATGCTCCAGCCCTGGCCCTTATCCAGCTCCAAAAGAACAGGATTTTGTTTGATGTTTAGAAGCTCTGGACCCAGCCTGTTTTCAGAAAGCTCTTCAGAAAGCTTTTCAGCCAACCTGGAATAGATCCACGCACACTAGAAGTAGGAGTCTTGTCATACGGGTTTAGACAGCTATACTATAGATGCCTTTATATGTCAGAGTTATCTAAACTACCTTGCAAACAGCACACCATCCTAGAGTGTGATTCGTGCCATCCAAGGACAGACATCTAAAACAGGCAAGGCAAACTGCAGCCCATTTGAATGTTTCTCTCAGTGGAAAAGGGAGCTTCAGCAAGTTAAGATCCTGAAGCTTGTTGAACATATCCCTTTGCAGACTTTATTTTGCTAAAAAAGCCATCCTCCCAAATAATAACCCAATGAGCAAGCATGTGGCAACATCTATTACATATGAGTATGTATGGCAATGCATATGCTGAACAGTGCTCTCTGCTTTCTTTGCTTGTAGGCTGGCTAGAAAACTGTTTCACCAGGTTCATATATATTTGTATAAGGCCTTCACACGGTATTAGGGGTTTCATAAGCATTCTGGAGATTAGGAAGGGTTTTGCACACTGTGAGAACATTCTTACAGTTAGCATCAGAGATGGAAACATTTTCAAGTGACACCAAAATACATCACTGTCTAAGCTGTAAAAATGCAAAGGAGTTACCAGCTTCTGTATGTAATTATTTCAACTTATCTGGTTATTTTATATATAAAGGAAACCAAGCTGGTTATTCTGTGCATATCTGCGTGAAGAACACACACACTCTTGTGTGATATAGCAGACTTTTGGAATACCTGACAACCAATTTCAATTTTTTTTTTCTCCTCTACCCTTTTTTCTCCAACCACCACTTAGAAAATCCTAGTAAAAATGCTGAGTGATGTAAATTCCATAAGTAGATAATTAAACTTGACAAAATAATTAAACTATGGAACTCTAATCTTACATGTGTGCTTTTATAGGTGCAATGAGTGTAATTAAGGAAAGTCTGTATTTATAGAATTAGATGTTCTCACTCATTCTTGCATTGCATTGGTTTTAATTTGCAGTGTTGCCAGCATGCAAGGTATATCCAGACAGTGCCAGTTAAGTGGAGCAGGCAGATAAGGTACTGTAGCAGGTCCTGTCTAGCATGTCCAGGCACTACATGCACAGGGGATAAAACATAGGCCCAACCACATTCTTGAAAAATTGTACATCACTATGTAATAAAGTTTGCACATGTGAACATGTTAAAGTAATGTTAAAATTCCGGCCACATGGCTAAACAAAGGAGATATAACTCTTTGGTAGAAATAAATGCACCGTACAGCTTAAAGATGGATCACACATGGCAAGCAGCACCTCGTGCTTTTGCCAAGCTCCACTCACTGGCATGCAGAGATGGCCCCAGGGAGAAGGCTGCAGCTCCCCACTTCCCTGCTTGCATGTGTTGCTGCACAGGGTAACCTCCAACAGCTGGCCTCTGTCCCCAGGCCCCTCCAGCACGTAAGGATGGCCAGAGTGCAGCAAACTCATCACTCATCACAGACCACATGAGACCTAGCCAAGAAAGTTTTCCACGGCCCATGAACACCTCTGTGAAGGAAGATGTCCTGGCCAGGAAAGGTAAATAGATTCAGCTCAGCTTCCCTGGGCCAGCTAAGCCAGATGTGCTGCCACTTTGCCTTGACAAAGACCCTGTCCCTATTATGTGTCACAGTCCTGTGAATATTGGCATGAGCAACTAAATCTGTGGTAAGACCATTTCCAGACAATACAGCTTCCTTGGGTGTTAAATGCCCTTCCCTGGTTTTCACACATGGCACATATTCCAAACTGAGTTATGGAAATAATTCGTGTTAGGAGTTCATCCTAGCAATCTCAAGGATGACAACATCAGCCTTACCCATACCTTCCCTTAAGTATTTTTATGTTCATCTGGCATCAATTACACATTCCATATTCAGAAGTGAAAAATATGACACTAATGTGCATATGAATAATGAAGCAAAGCCATTGGGACTTCTGGAGTGCAGTGCCTTGAAAGCATGCAGTATCAGAGATTAAATATGTATGTCTATTGTCTTTATTATAAAGCGATTTCACTCTAAAGGAGTTCTTAGGATTTGGGGTAACCTATTAATCCAAACCAGACCACCTAGAAGAGCTCCCTCCTGGAGAAAGAGGTGGGGGTTTTTTTTTGTTTGTTTTCATCCTCTCAGCATCCTACAGAAACAGAATGATTTTTCCCTAGAAGAGACTGTTGAATAATTGACAAGTAGCCATCTGCTCAGTTCAGGCTCTTTTTGGCAAAGACTGTATGCAAAATTAGAAGGAAAACCTGATGATTGAAGTGAGCAGGGATGACCAAGAATGAACCATCTGTTGCCACTGTTAACTAAGGCCGAGGAAGGCAAAAATCTGCGATCTGCAGAGCTTACCTGTAGTTTCTTCTTCCTCTGATTCATTGTCTTCATCATCATCATCTTCCTTGTCCTCATCTTCCTTTTCTTCTTCTTTTCCTTTTTCGACCCTCCCTTTCCCTCCCTCCCCCTCTGGGTCTTCCATTCTTTTCTCACCAGCCTCTTCCAGCATTTTATCCTCTTCCTTTTCTCTGCTGGCTGTTAAATTCATCATAGTTATGTCAGGCAGGCTTCCATCTTGGTGCACCAGTCTGTTGGTAAATAGTAGCACATCAGTAAACTGAGCAGTAACGACATCATAGTCTTTTTCTTTTTCAAGATGTATACTTAGAAAAAATAAACCATTCATGGAAAATGCCTTAGAAGTGAAAAAGTTAATGATTCTGGTACTTTCTCCAAACACACACTGCAAATTGAGTTGGAATGTATTAGTAACTACTTCTCACTCAGATACTAATGGTTAGTTAGTAATGAGTGGTATTGACACTTAAACTTGACATTTTCCCCACTGGAGAAAATGGTCAGAGTTTAAGATGTAGAAGCATGAAATGACATTGTTTAAGACTAAACATTTCATGACTTCATAGGGGACTTACTCATTTTGGTGGTTTGGTATTTTTTTCTTGAGGCTGCTCAAAGTAATTGGAACAGAAAGAAAAAGGGAGATGAGAACAGAGGGGTTACAGAAGAAGGTCATCGACAAATACGTCATGCTACATCACAAGCCAAAGCATTCTCCTACTCCATCTGCGGAAGCCTTCTGATGCCAAGAGCATGCCATCATGACATTCACAGGGTGCTTCTATAAAGAAACATGGAATTACAGCACAGATGGAAAGGGGGCAACCTATTTACACCAGTGTCAAAGACGGTCAGTGCTGTACTGTGCTGTCAGTAATGCAGCTGAATCATCACAAGTATCTGACTGACTACTGTAAATGTATTTCCACCTTCTTTCAATTGAAAGATGCACCTGAGAAGCCAAGGAATTTGCAAGTTTTCTTCCAGGTATAGGTTTGAGAACAAACAAAAGCAAAAATTCCATAGCTGTAGCTTCACTATATTTTATAATTTTTTCTTTGATAGGGCCATTCATTCTCTCTCTCTTTTCTACACCTCAAAGAGATTTTTCTTAAATTTTCAACTGTCTTTTATTAAATCTATCAGTAATTTTCAGAATACCAAAACTGGGATACAACTGATTTAACACAGAAATGGTATTTGTCTATTGCCATAGTGCCAATTCTTCTGAGATTTATTCAGTATATATCTTTTCTTTACTGAGAAAGAGACATTCTCTTATGGTTTCAGATATTTTCTTTTTTTCCCCCCAGCTGTGCTGCTGGGATTCACCTCCCATATTTGCAGAAAACCCACTTTTCCTAATTCCCTGATCCTCTCTGCTTTGCTGAGCACAGTGCTTACTGCCACAAATAGTCCCTTTGAATATGACTTCTTGCAATAAAGTCTCCCTTCGACAAGTGCATATCTATGTGATCAGGTCACTAAATGTTCAGAAATTACTACACTCAGCATACTTTCGAGCACCTGTTAGACTGTTCCTGGACTAATGCAAGTAACTTTAATAAGCTACAGTACCATCTCAGGGGTTTATTTTTCATGATGTGAAATTCTGGCATATTACCATTTAGACAGGAAATTCTGCCAATTTTAACTAGGATTTTTACAGTTCAGGAAACTAAAAATCTTGGTTTAACCATCTGATCATTAAAAAATAAAGAGTATAGGCTAAGCAGTTAATGAGAGTCAAACAAGCAGAATTATTTTCAAATATTTGGGAGTTGCAGATTCTTCAGGATGGAAGCTTTGGTGGCTCAAATGAGGGAAAAACTACAGAAATTTGACTAAAAAATCCTAAAGTAGAAATATCATACCAATTACCAAAAAGCAGAAAAGGCGTTTAAAGGTAGAAGGTTAACAAGACAGTCAAGCACTAAATAATCTCACTGAATAAATACATTCATGACAATGATTACTAAAATCCCTCATCATGACTTGGGTGATGAATCCGAGTGTCCAATGATCTGAAAACTTCTTATACTCAACAATATATTCGGTAGTTTTGGCTACTGAAAATAGGGCTTTTTGTCCGATATACTTTATTTTCATATTTAAGATAGCACATGTACTAAAAGGATATTCAAATCTCTGTAAAATGACTGAACGGTAATATTCCCTAAAATGACATAATCCAACTTTTCATATCTACCTAAAACGCTAATAAAGTACCGACACGAGGGTCATGTATAAAGAAGAGAGAATGAATTTTCAGTTCTGTTCAAATGTTATGGAGAACCCCAGTGACTATACATCAGCAGAGCCCATTTAAAAGGCAAGGTCCCATGCAATGAAAGCATCCATACAGACAGGTTTTGCACAGGTGCAATTGCATTGATTTTAATGAGGTATCTCCCCAGCTGACTTTTATAATGGAAAAATCTACATTCACACTGGTGTAAATCAAGGACTTACTAACTTACCTCAGTGTAAACTGGACAGAAACACAGTAGCCCTAAAGGATTTTGTATGAGAGGACTCATCTTTCTCTTATTCATATAACTCCCATTCATATCCAGGAGATCCAGAAGGTGATGGGGTTATAAAGATGGGTACATGCAGTATATATACCTGATAAAGCCTCAGAATGAGCTTAGTTTTCAGTATGTTGGTGCTTGGTTCTATTGACATCAGCAGGCTTGAGCACAGGACCGTGTGCTCAGGAGATCCAAGGCTAGATAAAAAGCCCTGCCTGCTGTTCAGAAAGTTAGGATACTTGGAATCTTTCTTCCCAGACCTCCTCATTTATTGCTAGGGTTATTGTTCCTCTATTTAATTTCTTTTTCCACAACAAGATCACATGATATCATGTAACAGACGACACTGAGGTATTAGGATACAAAAACTGCACTAGTTTAGAATATCTAAGACAAGCTACCCATACAGGCTTCACAGCTAGTTAAATGTAACTCCAAGTTGGAAACCACATACTGGTAGGAAATTATCCAAAATAACACAAAGACATTGTGCCTGACACTTAGAGAAATAATTAAATAATAATGCAGACAACAAGCCTTGAAGGTACAGCCACTAATGGTTTTAACTGAGAGCATTTCTTACCCTCAAACTCATTAAATAGGGTATCACTAATAAGAGGTATACTAGTAGATCTAGTTTTATATAGCAAAGCAATTTATGAGGCACTAAAATCAGGCATGTGCCCCAGATCCTTGCTGGACTAGTACTTTCATCTATTTGTAATTTGCTAGAGCAGAAGATTAATTAATAACAACTTACTGGATGCATTCTGAAGCAGCTTTTGCCTTTGATAATTTTTTTTGCAATCGGTTTACGAATTGCTTGAAACTTTCTGTCCCAAAACAATTTCTCAAGCATATGTCATGCACAGCTTTAATAACATAAAGATTTCTACTCTGCAGAACATTAGTGACCTACCTCCTAAACACTTGGCATGTCAGATTCAAACCGAGCACGCAGTGCCATCCCCCTGTTGGCAGGACCCTGAGTGCCTTCCCTGCCCTTGCAGGGGGTTCTGCTGCCTGCATCCAAGGCCAGCGGGCTGATATGTGTTGGGGTGCCTGCAAGCCAGGAGGCCTCAGCACAGGGTAACCCTCTCCTTCCTTTGGGAGCTGCTTTCATGCTGAGGCCCTCGCCCCTGCATTGCAGCTGCCTTGCGGCCATACCTGCGCCTGCTCCCATGCCTCCCCGACCCTATGTCTGACACACAGACTGACTCCCTGCCTTCACCTCCGATCTGGCTCATCTCTATGAACTTGCTGAGAGCTCCCCAGGCTGTGGCTGACCCTTGTTACCATCTCCGGACCTGACCTTCACCCTCAGTTGCTGGTTTCCATTCCTAAATTCCCACGGGAGAAAGCCCAGCCTTGCCTTCCGGCCGTGCCTCTCGGCTCCCAGCTTGCCAGCCCCTGCCACTCCCTGACACATGGGCTTCCTGCAGACCAGGTTTCCAGCTCTGGTGAATTTTTAAGACCCCTGACCTAAACTATGTGATGACATTTGAAGGAGGAGTGTGAACATGACACATAAATTAACTTCTTGTTAGAGAAGGTAGTCACAAATATCTAAACAAGGGATTTTCTTAGCTTTTCTGTTTATATTCAGTAGCGACAACAAACTTGGAAGTCTTTCTATTCTTGGAGCTGATTAAACAAAAGCCCACATTTACTCCAGTCAAATATTTTGAAAGAAATCTACTTTATGGAACCGTTTTCAAGATGCCATTTATAAAGGGATGATGATGGTGGCAATATAGGCTTTTGTAGTTTGGATACTGTGTCACCCGACTCAGCCTATGAATTAACGTCCTTAGCATGCAGTGGTTTCAGTCTACTGCCTGTTCCATTCCTGTCTTTGAATCAGGAAATCTCAGTCTCGTGATGCATACTGCACATTTCACTGACCTGGCCCTCAAATTGCCTTTCTTAGGTGCTTGTGAGGAAGACAGGGGTGTGTGCCTGGGTGTGCATCTGTGCGTATGTGTGCGCATGCAAGCATGCATCTTTCCATGCACAAACAAAGGGTAGAGAAACGAGCCTCCTCAACCAAGTCTGTTGTCTGCAGCCAATTACAAGTTACCAATTATTCCTGTATTGAGGCGTGGGCAAAGTTTAAGAGAAGAATTCCCATCTGGGAGATGAACTCACAATGTGTACGTATGCAGGAGAGATGTGTTAACTGCTTCACCTGCTTTAGGAGACTACATTACCTGAACAACATTCTCTCCCCGCTTACTTCACAGTACTGTCCAGCAAGAATATACTTTGTTTTAAGGCAATTAAGACGTAACAAGAAAGTTAAAGTATACTTGTTTTAAAGGAAAGGAAGAATTGAAGTACCCACCTATTAATTATTAGATAAACACGGCCATTGACTTTGGCATGGCTATGAGGTGGGAGATGAAAGCACAAGAATGCATGAGATGAAAATGGGAAATAGAGAGACAGAAAAGGAAACCATTAAATACGAACAAATGCACTTTCCTGTCTACCAAGAGAGACACATTGGCATAACAAAGCATAATCTGAAAGCTTAACATATACACCATGCAGTGAAAAGCCTAGGAAGCTTATGAATGCAATACTTCAGTGTTCAGACCGTGTGCAACTTCAGTTAGAACTGCAGGTTCTTTTCATAGACCCCAAAATGTGAGAACAGCCTTTACTGCTTTATCTCAAGTAAGCCACAGAATATTTTCCATTTTTTTCAAAAAAGCTAGTCTGCTTCTTTTTTTTTTTTTATTTAAAGGTGATTATAATGGAGCATCATACCATAGAAATTATCTGCCTCCCAGTCTTTATGTCTGCCATACTGTAATTCATGGTGCATAAAGGAAAGGGGCTTGGGAAGTCCTAATCAGAGGATTTTTCTTTCTCTTGCAGATGTAAAATTGACCTTGACAAATCACCTTTTTAAATAGTGAGAAGTGCCTCACTCTGCCAGTTCCAGTGTGCCGGTTTCCATCCCCTCTATTTACAGCTGGCAGAGCCTTACTCTTGAACTCACTCTGCAAACTTTGCTCATGTGAAGCAGCATCTTAATACATGAACAATCTCAGCAATTTTAACAGGACTTTTCAGTTATACACAAATATAATACCATAATCATACACAGCAGTTCAGGGGCAGACAGAGGAACTGGAGTTGCTTTCCCTGTTACTTTCATGAGTAGCTCTCACTTGCTCTGCTTCATTTAACAAGTTTGCTATTCAAAGGATTGAGTTCTGTCTGCTTACTCAAAAATAAAGTTGTTTATTTAATTTTTTTTTTGTTTGTTACAAAAGCAGCAGCAAAAAAAGCAGTTTTGAAAGCTAAACTAGCTGTTGAGTGAATGCTGGTGTTTTCAAGCAAAAGGGAAAATAAAATTTTAGTGGCTTTGTAAGACAATTGGACATATACATATGCTAGTATTACTGTTAAGCTGGAGCTGGTTGTTGTGCTACTTCTTATGCAGCTTTATGCATCATCAACACAAATGTTGGCTGAGCTCTCATCCTGATGCTCAGTACTGATTTAACACATCAAGAGGGAAGAAAACAGCTGGATCTTCATATGTCAGGCAGTGTGTATGGTAATACAAACCAGAAATCTCTGATTTGGGTATTGGACACACTTGTGAAAGTTTCTGAGGAGGAACAAATTATATACATTGATAACTGTGATTTTAAAATACTGCAAAATGGCAAATGTAGTACATAACACCACATTTAAGACTTAAAAAAATCTAGCTACTTATCTGACAGCTCAATACAATCTAGGACACATTTAGATTTTAAAAAATAGCAGTATAGTAGCAAGGCAAAAAAGCTAACGATATCCTCTTTACCTGCCACTTCAGTAAAAAGCCTGGTGCAACAACAAATGTCTACTTTCAGCACCCTATCTCAAGGCTACTTACTTCTGGAAAAAATGTCACTGGCTATTGATAAAATCTACATCCTACAACCTTCTTTTGTGATACTAGTCTTTATTTGTTTTTGCTCTCAACAGGACACTGAAAACATTTTGTGTCTTTAGCTTCAGCAGTTCCATCCTCTGAGAATGATGTGAATTTAGTCACGGTGATTCTCTTCATGCCAGCATTCAGAGAGCTATAGCTAATACTTTGCTATCTTTCATGTATAACAGAAAGATTTGCAAGTAGTGGTTTTGCAGTCAGAGAGTGCTGTACCATGAAGCCACCTAAATCCTGGGAGTGCCACAGGTGGTCTTTTCCATTTTGTGCCTACTGGATCACACTAGGAGTGAGGTGGAAGCTGTTTCTGTGTTACTCAGCACAAGCGCAAAGTGTTTGGGCTACAAAAGAGCTTGTGCAGTTACTGCAAACTGTGGTACATTCCCCCAAATGCCTCAGCCCAGGAACAACTCCTATTTCAGCTCAGACACCTATCTGGGCTCTGGATTCAGGGCTTGGCTGCCCACTTCAGAGATGTTAACATGCATCTGCTGCTGCACAAGAAGACCTGCTGTGGGCAAAGAAAGTGTGCCCACAGGCCATTTCAAAGGGCCCTTGAATCTACCATCAGATTTAGCAAAAGGAAAGCAAAAGGAAAAAGTATTATGCAAACAGTCATTTGAAAATGTAAGTTAAAGAAAGCACAAAGTTGTTAGGGAATTTTATCAAGTTTGATTTGTTCTGGTTTTGGCAACTTATTTAAATACAGAAACCAGAAGCATTCTACAAAAGTAGAGCTTATTCACATGCACTGCCGATAGGGAACACAAACATACTTGTACCATACACTGTAAATTTGCTTCATATTCAAGTGAATGCATGAAAAATATCTGAAATGCTTTTGTAAATCTAGCAAGTCATAGAGCAGAATTCTCTGTTAAGGTAAACTGTCATTGTACCACAACACGCCGTGGTGTACGTGACGTTATGCAGCTAGCTGCCATTCACAGAAGCACTGCTGAGTTACACTTATCACTGGATAGGTAAACACTCCAAACCCAGTGTCTAAATGAACTGGTTTCTTCAAAGGAGTAGAGCAGATGTCATCGCATAATATGACACTATGAGCTATGAAACCATTTCTCTCTCTTACACTTCTTGAACAAGATAGTAGGCCAGACACATTTTCATGCAGGAGAATATAGAAAAGTTAAACACAAGAAAAATGAGGTCCCAGAATGATGAAAAAATGCTAATGAACTTCTTGATGAGGTCGCTGAATGTCTCAAAGAGCTAGCATAGCCAAGGGTCAGTACTTTAAAGGGTGATCACAGGTTTGGGATTTTTCCATTTCTGAAGTTCAACTTTATAAAAAGGCCTAACTGTCCAGTGCAAATACGGTATTTGCCAAAGATCTCCCAATCTTCATTTGGCCCTCAAAATGGACATTGAAAAACAGAAGTGACCCAAATTACAAGCCAAATTTCCTATTATTGACAGGACTTAGAAAAAGGCACACATAGCAACTAAGCATCTAACTCCCATTAAAGGTCAAAGCCAATGAGATAAATACATAAATGCCATTAATACCTTTGAAAGTGTACCCTAAAATGAAAAACTTCAGTGTATAGAAGAAAGTGGGGGAAGACAGATACTTTGGTTGCCATTAGTTCAGCTGGATACTAAGCACCTTATTTTTAGCCAGGTAGTCATCCCAAAGGCAAATAACATCTAATGAAAAGTGAGCATTACAAGACAGTCAGAAACAGCATTTTCATACAGAAAACCAATCGGGCCTTTTACTTAGTTTCTTTACCTGTAAATAGTGTTGTCCTGTTTGCTGGTTACAGCTTTTAAATCAGTGAGCTGGAGAAAACGGTCATGGAAGTAGTGAAGGTGCAAGATACACGCCAGTAGGAAGGAGGTGGGGATAAAGATGCGTGTGAATAACTCAGCCACAGAAAACTGTTTTAAGCCAAGGTCCGCTAGTCTGGAAAAAAAAAGTAAGCCACTAAGCCACCTTTTCACACCAAAATATTTTTCTTGCCATGAGACACTATTACAAATCATTTGCAATAGGAAATAAGGGGCTGGTACGTGTTATGTGGTTTTAGTTTTTAAAATTCTTCTAAATCAGCAAGTTTTGCAATGCAAATGTCTTGCATTTGGACTCAGTAATATAGAGACATACTGTGAATGTACAGAGTCAAATGAACCAACCCGCAGTTGATCTCTTGAACCAGATGAGTTGGCTCTGACTGAAAGTCCTGTACTGGAGATCCACTCACACTACATATATTTTCTCATGTAAGCTCCTGTTGAGCAGTGCCCAACCCATCATGAAGAGGAAGAAACACAGCCTTCCTTATTAGCAGGAAGGCATGTCCATCTTCATCAGCTCCAGACATCCTGCAAATCTACCCTTAATCTCTTCCCAGATCTTGCTCCTATGGCCAGAGGTAGGGAGGAGTATCGGCACTGTATTGGGAGCAGGAGTGGTGCCAAGGCCTTGGCAGCAGATGACTCATGGAGCTCCTCTCATGCCCTTGCTCGTCTCTATTGTAAAACCACTAAATCTGTGGCTTCAGAGCTGAGCCAAGTCAGCTATGCCTGCGGATGGTCTCATGATGTTCTTCCCCCACAAGAACGAAGGCTGCTCTCAGAGCATTCCATCACATTGAACTCAAAAGTCCAAAGGAAAAATGAAAATAATTAAAAACACTTACTTGTTTTCATCCAGGCCTGTCATATTCTTCCATAAGCCAGGGAATGACTCAAACTGGTATGTATAGATGAAGATAAGTACCAACATCGTGTAAACAACCACTGACATCCAAAAGTATTTTAAAATCCTTCTCCACCATTCATAGTGCACCTGAAAATCACACACTAAAGATGTTGAAACAAGCTGAAGGCAAAGACACTGATAAAAACACTGACCAAACTGCTCTGGCAAATGAAGACTAAGAGTACTATTTTTCCTAGCTGGCCTGAAGTAAACAACGGCTTACCCAACAGCAGCCACAGTTCTTTGAGATACAGTTTTTACTTCTGATGCACATGCACCCAAGAACGGACTTTTGAGTAAAAATGTCTGTTGGGATATGGCCACATATATAAAGCCCAGGGACAGCTTCAGTCACTCAGTTTCATTACCATTAGGTGATGAAAGTCCAGGAGGAGAGGGACTCCATGCTCATTGGGGTGTAGAAGCTGTGTGGGCCAGCTGTCACAAAACCTGGTGGCTATGTAGGATGTGCACAGGCCCAGAATTTTCCCACACAGCTTCCAAAGCTTGCGGTGATGTGAGGTGGACTCCCAGAGCAGAAGTGTGTATTGTATGCATCGAATTTATATGCACCTTGCCTGTCACTATAATCAAGTCTTAACCCCTTCAAATGATCTTATTACGTTGTATCTAACTAAAGAACAAACACACTGTTTATTAGTTCTGTTTGAAGCTACTTTAACTCAAGTAAGAACCATTGTATTCAAGGACAACATTGAGTTAACGCAATTCTCACTTACCTGATAGAGGGCCACGCAGAAGAGGAACAGTACCATATAGATGATTTTGTACATGACAATTCTACCCTCAAAGCTGACAAAGAAGAACATGCCCCCACAGACGTAAATCCAGTACTTGATGAACATAGCCATCACCAGCTTCCCCAAGACTTTCATAATATCCTGTTCATCGTCATCCTCCTCCTCCTCCTCCTCCTCCTCTTTCTCTTCCTCCTGTTCTTCTGCCACTTCTCCCTCTTGCAACTCCTCTTCTGCAAATACAGAGTCACATTTGGCCTCTGGCTGTTTTGGGGACTCTCAGTAAGAATTGAAATGGGTGGGAAGTAAAATCTCTGCACACAACACAGAAGCTTCAAACATGATATTCACCAGACTTCAACCTGCTCCTGGAACCATACAATGCATAGCTATATGTCCTTACCAGACACCCATCTTCACTTTGTCTGAAATGCAGGCAGCTGTAGCGGAAAATTAGAGCCTAAGGGTTGTATAATGGGTAACAGTCAAAACACTTTCAAAAATCTATACTCCCAGGCAAGAAACCTTTTGAACTGGAAAACAAAGAACCCACCAGCACCACCAGGAACCTCTCATCTTGAGTTTGAAGTTTAAACTCTCATCTTGAATTTGAACCTCTCATCTTGAGTTTCGTCCTTCAGAGAATATTGTGGTTACCTCCAAAAACCACCAGCAAGAGAAAACATTAACATAAAACCAAACAAGCTTAAAAAAAATATGAATTCTGCATTAACACTGCTGTTTTTCAAAGAAACTAACACTTTTCCAGCTTCTTCTGCTGTACCTGAGCCATTGCAGAAAAGACAAGCTGCTTTTGCCCTATGAAGAGGTCAGGAGTCACCAGTTATTAACCTTGTGAGACTTGTGGAGGGTGGGGTAAGTGTCCCCCCCCAATAGCAAGTACCCATAAGTGTCCAGATAACAGGGCTTGTCAACCTCGTAGGATGTAGCTGTAATACTTTCTTCACATTGAGAACAATATTGAGTCTTCATCATCGAAAGGCTCTCCCGCTCCTTTTGTCCCACTCATCATCCCTCTTCTCAGACTCTATCCTTGCTCTTGCTTTGCAAATCTTTGCAGTGTCCCGCTCTGACACCGATCATATGTTTTACTTAGACAAATATTGTAATTAATCAAAAAGGAAGCTACATCATTGCTTTCTACCATATCAGAGAGTTGAACTTGTTCAGATCAGCATCCAGAGAGACAGAAAAGGGCAAGGAAGGTTTGGGAACATGTGCCCAGTAGTAAAAGAAAGAACAGGCCACCGAGCTTTAGATGAGCTGAAAATGTAGCAGTAAACTTTACTCTCAGGTATGCTTCTCATAGCACGAGCCCCTGCACTGAAAATATACATGCTTATTTTCCCATTGGAACTAGTAGTTTAGCTTCTGGTTTTGTACAAATCTTTATGTAAAAAACACAGCTTCCAAGGAATTTAGCAACTGACTTCTCCTATGTAAACTCTTCTCCTGTGGTTAAACTCCTATGGAAATTAATCCACTGGTTTGAGTTGGGGGCATAGGAGTAAACTGATTATTTGATACTCGTTTCTCAAATGAGTAATTTCAATTACCTTCCAGTAAAGAGAATTCTCACTTCATTTGCATTTCCGAAGTTCAAAGGGGTTTTATTTTTATATCCCGAGAGATAGTTGCACAATATCTTTCTTAGCTAGTAACAGGTGTCTTGCTAATTGCTTTCAGCGTTACAGAAATGCAGTAACTGGAACTTGTATCATGACTGAAGGATTAAATTGGAGGTGGCTTTACCTTTTTCTTCATTTTCTTCACTTCCAACTTTGACCTCAGATAAAGTAGCTTCTTTAAGCTGAAGTGCTTTCTGTTCAGTGAGGTGTTGCCTAAGCAGTAGCCAGAAAGTAATTGTGAAAAGAATCTGCAGACAAAAATTAAAACAGAAACAACAGACTAATTGTATATCCTATATCCTGCTAATATAAGCATATGTTTTCATAAATTTTGCATGCTTTTGTTTTCTCTGCCCATCAGAAAATGGTAACGATGGCATCAGAGTCAAAGTGCATGTTTGTGGAAGTTGTCATCTAGGAAATGTTTTGTACTGAAAACAACTTTATTTCATTCGCACTTTTCCATTGAGTAATTCACTCCACATCATTTCTTAAAGGTATTTATCTATATGGTTCTATTTTCCCCCATTCTGTTCAGTTTTTAACTCCTGTCCTATAAGTTTAAAGATCTTCTCATGATATATTGATTGGTATAATTTCCATCTGTCCATTTTTGTTCATTTTTCCCTTTTTGCATGGAAGAAGCACAGGCAGGTGAATGTATTGTCATTATTAGGGTTTCATATATATCCTAGGTCTTTTGATTCAGGAGGTTTGGTGCTTCAGGTGCTTAAAGGCAATTAATTTAAAAATAAAAAATCTCTTTGTATGTCTTTAAGTTACAAAAGACACAGCCAACTGAATATGCCTTGCATTTGGAGCAGTTACAAGATTTAAGATGGCTCTTAATTCTTTCAAGAGCTTTAAGAGATGATAATTTCATAACAGCAGGATACCTTAGAAATAAATAAAAATCTTTAATGAAGATGGCACTTCCGTGTTTTGCAAAAAGCTAAATTCAACAGCTTGCAATTCTGAGCAATGGACAAAATTCAGAAAACAGCAATGATGCCTATCCATCACACACTTGCTTTTATGTTTACGTTCTTCAAAGTATCCACTGATTTCAGTGGTGCAGAACAAGGGTTATTTCACTACTTTATAAGCTAAAAGACTAAAATCTCAAATAGGAAACATGTAAGAGCCCAGTGTTTCGCATACAAAAGAATGACAAGACCAGTAGTACAATATAAAGCACTCTCCTGTTTTTCATCTAATGTGCAAGTACTTCATGGGGGAAAGGAGAGATCCCAGGCTAATGGAAGCTGTTTGCACTGACTCTGTGGCTGACACTGAGCTACAGCAGAAGGCTATCAGCCTGCGTGAATTGTCACAGCTTCTCCAGACACCTCCTGGAGCTCTGGCTTTTGCAACCCTAACCATTGATACTGTAAAACACGGATTTGTTCTGCAGTGATTGTCTCCCTGATGCGTTTACTCCTTGTTCTCTTTGGCATTTCCAGAGCCAGAGCTGGCTCTAAGTCTTGAAGGGTTGCAGATTGAAGAAACGCTTTAATCCACCTTTTACAGTATCCATTCCGTTTCCTTTTTAGACCAGGAAACACACACGTAGCATGCAGAAAATTACGAAGAAAGAATTACAGTACATTTCTTTCTATTCTCCTCTCTTTGCAGAATACAGTATCCAATCTTTATTTAAATTCAACCTTTATTCAAAGGACTTTAAACTAGGAATAACAGAGAGGGACAGAGTTACTAGCAGCCTTGCGAGGGAACAATGGACAGGGCTGACAAGCAAAGGGTGCCTGGGGTGATGCGAATGAAAGGAAACACATAATCAACAAAGCGGGGCTTATGTAGGGTCACCTCAAGAATTTGTATGTAAGCAAGGAAATGTCTTCAAGGCACCATTACACGGAAACCTTCCACATCCTTTCTGGGAAATCAGCATGTTGGGTGCCTCTCTGAAGTGCTTGTGTACTAATGCATGCACCATGTGGAATAAACACAAAGAATTAGAGACCCCTGTGCAAGGCTGTGGTCTTGTTTGGATCACAGAGACAAGGTGTGATGGCTTACATAGCTGAAATGGAGAGGTACAGGCTCATTAGGAAGCACGAGCCAGGAAGATGCAGAGGTGGAGATGAAATTTGTGTGAGAGCATGGCTGGAATGCATGGGCTCTGCCTGGGGATAGATGATGAGCCAGGTAACCTGGGAGGGAAATAGAGACACTGGCTGAGCATGCAGAGACATGGTTAGAAAAGCCAAGGCTTGAAGTTGAGTATGGCGAGGCATGTCAAGAGCAACAAGAAGAGCTTCTGTAAGTACATAAGCAGAAAAAGGAAGTTTAAGAAAAATGTAGGCTCACTGCTGAGTGGGGCAAGGGCCCTGGTGACACAGGACATGGAAAAGGCTGAGGTACCAAATGCCTTCTTTGCCTCAGTCTTTGCTAGCAAGACCAGCCTTTGGGAATCAAAGGTCCCAGAGGCTGTGGAAAAGTCTGAAACAAAGAAGACACACTCTTAGTGGAAGAGGATCAGGCCACGGAATACTTAAGTAAACAACTGAGAATACATAAATCCATGGGTCCTGATGGAATGAACCCACAAGTGCCGAGGGAGCTGGCTGATGTTATTGTAGAGGCTACTCTCAATAATCTTCGATTGATTGTGGTGACTGGGAAAAGTGTCAGAAGACTGGAAGAAAGCAAATATCACTCCTATCTTCAAGAAGGGAAAGCTGGAAGATACAGGCCAGTCAACCTCACCTCAGTCCCTGGGAAGGTGAGGGGGGTGGGACACTGGAATACATTGCCTAGACAAGTTGTGGATGCCCCATCATTGGAAGTGTCCAAGGTCAAGTTGGATGGGGCTCTGAGCAACCTGATCTAGTGAAAGACGTCCCTGCCTATGGCAGGGGGGTTGGACTAGATGACCTTTAAAGGCCTCTTCCAAACCAAACCATCCTATGATTCTAAGGTGATGGAGCAGCTAATCCTGGAAACCACTTCCAGGCACATGAAGGACAAGAAATCATCAGGGAGTAGTCAGTGTGGATTTATCAAGGAGAAGACATGCTTGACCAATTTGATAAACTTCTATGATGAAATGACTGGCTTGGTAGATAAGGGGAGAACAGCGGATATTCCTGAACTTCAGGAAGGCTTTTGACACTGTCTCCCACAGGATCCTCATAGACAGGCTGTTGAAGTATGGGCTGAATGAGCAGACAGTGAGGTAGATTGAAAACTGGCTGAACAGCTAAGCTCAGAGGGTGGTGATCAGTGGCATAAAGCCTAGCTGGAGGTCAGTGACTAGGGATATACCCCAGGGGTCAATACTGGATCCAGTCCTGTTCAACATCTTCATTAATGATCTGGATGATGGGGCAGAGGGTACCCTCACAAAGTTTGCTGATGACACAAAACTGGGAGGAGTGGCTGATGCACCAGAGGGTTGTACTGCCATCCAGAGGGACCTTGACAGGCTGGAGAAAAGGGGTGACAAGAACATCGTGGAGTTCAACAAGGGGAAGTGCAAAGTCCTGTGCCTTGGGAGGAACAACCAGTTAATGCACCAGTACAGGCTGGGGGCCAACCAGCTGGAGAGTAGTTTGGCAGAAAAGGCCTGGGGCTCCTGGTGGACACCAAGTTGAACATGAGCCAGAAATGTGCCCTTATGACAAAGAAGGGTAATGGTATCCTGGGATGCGTTAGGCGAAGTGTTGCCAGCAGGTCGAGGGAGGTGATCCTCCCCCTCTGTTCAGCACTAGTGAGGCCACAATTAAAATGCTGTGTCCCATTCTGGTGCCCCTGTACAAGAGAGACATGGAGGTACTGAAGACAGTCCAGCTGAATGGCCATGAAGATGAAGGGACTGGAGTATCTCTCCTATGAGGAGAGTGTGAGAGAGCTGGGACTGTTCAGCCTGGAGAGGAGAAAGCTCTGTAAACGCCTGAAGGGAGGGTGGAAAGAGGATGGAGCCCAGGTCTTTTCAGTTGTGCCCAGTGATGGGACAAGAGGCAATGGGCACAAACTGAAACACAGGAGGTTCCCTCTGAACACACTTTTCTAGGGTGACTGAGCACTGGCAAAGGTTTCCCAAGAAAGTTGTGCAGTCTAGACTCTTGGGGATATTCAAAAGCTCTAGGTGGCCCTGCTTGAGTAGGGGAGTTAGACCAGATGACCTCCAGAAGTCTCTTTTGACCTCGGCCATTCCATGATTCTGTGAAATTTACAGAGTGCATTATATTCAACCTAACAAACCCCACTAGACATCTTCTATTGGTTTTATGGGTGTGGCCAAACCATCATATATACACAACAGTTTCCTTTCTTGAGAGCAGCTAGTTTTAGATATTTGATGATATAGCTAAAAAGAAACAACATCAAAGGGGCTGATGTATTAAGGCAGTTAAAACTCCTTAGAGATTTACAAAGTCATTGAGAGAAACAGTAGAAGTTCTCTTGCAGAACCCCTTGAGCTTTAGCTCTCTTACTAAACTAGTCCTACCTTTACGAGAGAAATAATACAGCACTCACTAATTTTCAAATGCATTAAAGACCCAGAAATGGTTGTCCAAAGGGCACTGCCAACAAGGAAAATCACTTACGGAATCACCTTAAATGGAAATTAGGAGTCACAGGGGAAGTGATTCACTTAGTACAAGGGGAGCTGTGCCAACTAGATGCACTCTCTGAGACGCCCCTCTTGGGTGCTCTAGGAAACAACTTCCTATTTATGCTCATTCCCTCCCCTAGAAGCAAACCTGCCAAACAAAATATATTTTGTAGTGCTTTCAAGACATCAAAGAAAAAAATCTATCATGCACTGAGGTCAAGAAACTCTCTTGTTTCTGACCTGAAGCAGATTCTAACTCACGCTGCTTCAGGTGTAAAGATACAGAATTAAAGCTCATTCACTATGCTATGTATTGCTGCTTGTGCCAAATCATAAGGGAGTGAGTAGTATTGGTAATTGCAATGACACCACAGTAGTTCCAGCTGTCGCCATATTCAGAGACAGACCTGACATCCCATGGTTATTAATCTAACAAATCAAATCACATCTACTTTTGCATCCAGTTTCTAAAACCAAACAAGTGAGCAATTTCCATCCACTAAGAATTTTCTACAGAATGATCGTGAAAATCTATAAAGATGCCTGAAACATTTGTTTTGATATTAGCTTAACAAGCAAGAAGCAATTTTCTGAACATTATTTTTTAATGACTTTTGCTTTACTGTAGAACTGCTGCTGAACATGGTTATACTGAATACTGAGGATTCACCCTTAAAGAAATGCCAAGAGATCCACATTTTTTATCACAATATATTCTGTGGTTTCACAAATAAGTCTCAGCTGTTTGTAACACCTACCTTTGATGCCAGTTCCCCAGGTTCCTTTCTTTCTAAAAAACCAGATACTTGAGGAAGCTCATCGTTCTTGAGCTCAATACTCCATATATACTGCAACGTTAGCAGTAAATTTCCATAGAACACCATAAATGGTGAACTGATCATGGCGTATTTCCTTCGGTCCCGAATCATCCACAATGTGCAAGACCAGATCAGTAACACAAAAGTCAGCCAGCTGTGATACGTGATACTCCATGCCTTGTGGAAGGAGGAAAGAGAGGAAAAAAATGTTCAGATACGTTCAGGAACAACACTGATGCAATTACACTTCGCTTACGCTTCTCTACTTAACGCACATTTTCATTGTCATGAGACTCTCACCCATATTAATCAGCTGCTGGGCCAGCTAAAATCAAGCCCTGGGAGAACGTGCAGAAAGTGGATTCTTAAGAAGTCCACAGCTGAGGGCAAACCCAGCTTTGTGCATTAATTGTACCTTGGTAAGGTTTGTAAGCGGACTCATTGTTTCTCATTACACCAAACTAAAAGAGATGGAAATGCAGACTAACTTTTGGGCACACAAGATCTTCTCACAAAACTAGCAACAAAGAATTCAGAGTAGGAATAGCAAACCATATTGATAGCTACTACATTCAAGGCCTTTGATAGACTTACAAAACTTTCTAGCTTTTGTGGAACCAATTTAAAATGGAAAGCTATGGTATGCACACACTGCACACACCTAAGCCAAAGAACATTTTGTCTACACTAACCATGTTAGATTCCCTGAAATACAACTACAGAATGTTTCCTATAGCTTGCAGAAATCAGTTACTGGAAACCACTCTATTAAACACTTGGGGAAAAGGATTGGGGTTTTAAGTGTTTTTTATTAACACTGTGTTATCAGTGTAAGACTAAATTCAGCTATATATATGCTGGTATAGCTGTGGAATAACTGTCAATAAAACATTTCAGATTCCTTTTCAATTTAAAGAGAAAAGTATAAAACATTAAGAACATTTCAATCAGTTTTGCTCAGGCCCCTTGGAAATGGTGACTTTTAAGGGTATGTGAAAAACACTAATGTGCTACTTCTCTGTCCCCATATAAGAAAATAACTGAGCTGTCTTTGGATATGGTATAAGTGGAATTTGCATCAGATCACACCATAAATTCATAAATGAATTTGGGTCATATAAAGTAGGGATGTTTCACCAAGAAAAAAGCTAGTGGTGTCTCAATATTAAACTATGAGAAAGCTATTCCAATATATCTTCTCCTTTGATATTGAGAGCTATGACCTTGGAAATGAATTAAAAAAGGAATGTAGATCATGTGAAGCATGTGAGTTTAAAAACTAAGAAAAAGAGGCATTGTGCCAATATGAAAACAACTACTTGTTAATGTCTCAGAATGCATCAAGCCAGGTCCAGATTCTGCACAAGGAGTCTGCTTTATTTAGTTGAGAAAGTTTGCCTGTTAAAGGACAGCAAATAAAGTTTGAAACTTTATGCAAACAAGAAGCAGCCAAGCTAATTTGTTTTACCATTTTTAATGCAAAATTGGGCCAAGTAGCTTTATGGTTAATTTCACCAGAGTGGAAGCCTTTCCAAAACAGTAAAACTAAAGCTTGCATTGGGAATATATAGAGAGATCTAATTATTGTGCTGAAAACTTGCTACGGTGCAGCTCAAGGTATTTGAATCAAGTGGGCTTAAAAGCAAGCATCAACATGAGAAAGAGAAATAAGGGCAGTAAGTAAAACAATAGCAAAATCTTGCTTGGCATGAAGTTGTATTTTCCTTGAGACCTTTCTGTGTCAATATAGGAAATAAGGCTTTAGAGATCTTTTCTTCTCAGAGAGTAACTGGATGCATGCTTCAACCTGAAATAGGAACTATATTTTTTAAATTTACTGTATCACTATGAAATGCTTTAATTTTGTAGGCAAGTTTCTGAGTGGAGCAAAAGCATGACAAGCCTGCTTATGCAGAAGCTTTGGAATCGATAGAAAACTGCGCCCCAGTGGTTTTCTAACATTCAACAGACAACAAAACCCAGGGCTCCCGGTCCTGGAAATGTGATGCTTTACCCAGAACCTCACATGTTGCCCTATTTATAGGTCTGTAAGAGGCCTGCGAGCTATGCATTAATAACCTAAAATGGACCCAAAATGATGCAGAGAGCATATCGATATTTACTAACCCCCATGCAAACACTTACTGAAAACCAATGATGAGATTACTTTCAGGAAAACATTGAGAAACCACATTTATCTGTAAAATTAACAGCATTTTTTTTTTTTTTTTGGTTGCCAGTACTTACCATCATAGCTATCAGAGCACAAATGTAACTTTGTTTCATGATAAATTGAAACACAGAGACCAGGGCATGTAATTTAACATTTTCTTTTTCCTCCTGAGTAACTTCCTCTTCCTCTTCCTCCTCCTTCTCCTCTTCCTTTTCTAAGTAGAAAAAGAAATTCTTATTTGCAATTCCTGCTGGTCTACAAGTAGGATACGCACTCTCTCCTGGAATGGTTTCACTTATAATCACCCTGATGGCTACTTCTACAGCAATCAGCAGATGGGAGCCAAAGAAAAATTACATATGAGCACAGTAAAGCAACACAAAACCTGCAGTCACTGTGTTGGTAGGCAAAGTATTTTGGATAGTATATACCTACAGCCCAGTTTACAAAATTCCCGTGTGGTCAGCCATCATTGTAAGGTGACAGCAATTACTTAACTTCAAGAGGCCAAAGAGCTTACCAAAATGAAAATAAATGGTGGAAGCAGTGAATGGAGAATAGGAAAAAATATGGAACTAAGGGTAATTCCCAGGCAATTCACTACCTGACATGTCATCCGAAGGCTCCCATTTGTACTGTGGTGTTGAGTACATGTCTGCTTTGGCTGGACCATTCTCTAATGGCAGTGTGGGGTGGATGGTGTGATAGTCGGTAGGGTTCCCGTTCACTGTTACCAGCAGCACCTGCCAGGACAACGAAGAGAGGCATTGCCTTTAGGGTGGCTCTGACGAGAATGAGCCGCCTACTTCTCTGCTTCACTAGTGTTGAACCACCACAGTTAAAGGAGCTTAACAAGTAACTACAGTTACTTCCTTCCAAAGAAATTGATGTTATAGTCATGTTGCATGCAAAAGTAGCACATAACAGCTTCCAAAATTAATTGCCGTTAGCTTTTTATGCAATATCAATAGAATTACAAATTTGTTTCAGTGAAGTTCAATAGCAAACAGTAAAATGCTGCTGCATCTTTGAACTTCTATAAATATTTCCTTTAAAAGGTTTCAAGTTTTTTTCAAATTCCCAGAATGTCATATTGCATTAAGTAACACTTCAATTTACACACAAGCAGTCTGGAAAGGAATAAAAGTGTGCATACACAAGCAAAAGCAATTAAGTTACTGCAGTCAGCTGAGCCCTGGTAAATGACTATTTGCATGCTCTTGGCCTGTCCTACCTATGAAATCAAATGGAAAGAAAAAACAGTGCACAGGTGGACTAAGTTAACACACCCACAGCTGGGAAAAGCTAAGGTTGACCACATGGCTCAGCACACCACCAGTAACTCAGATGAGCTCATCTTCAGATATCCTGCCTTTCCCAGGTTAAATTGGCTTTTTACAGCCAAGCTAGGAATGTATTATTATATCTTCTGCATTTAAGTTAAAGCTGTAACCAAAAATTCATCCTTCTTCTTAGGCAAACTACTACTAATACAAGCTAAAACCAAATACAAAACTAAAAAAATTTTTTTCATAGAAAGGGTTGTCAAGCATTGGAACAGGCTGCCCAGGGAAGTGGTTGAGTCCCCATCCCTGGAGGTATTTAAAAGACGGGCAGACAAAGTGCTTAGGGACATGGTTTAGTGGCAGGATGGCAGGGTTAGGTTAATGGTTGGACTTGGTGATCTTAAAGGTCTTTTCCAACCTAGATGATTCTGTGATTCTATGATTATTCTATGATTCTAACACGTTGAGATTTTTCACACTTCAGTTCACATCTAATTATTTCCAGTAGTTATGAAAATAATGGTTACAAATCACTTCCAATTTTAAAATATTACTGGTGAAATTACATTTGCTGCTGTTAATAAAACCACTTGTGGTAATTATTGTTATTGATGCCACATTTATGCCACTTGGTAGTACTAATTCACTACTCTTCCATTATTTTTTTTTATTTTATTTTTGTAAATTAAATTTCAGCCCTTGTGCTTGTTTGGATTAGGGCTCCAGCAACCACAATCATAAATATCTCTCCTGTTGGCAGAAATTCACATGCTATGGGTTACTGATAGTAGTACATGCTGAAGACTGACTTCTGCTTAGGCTGTGAGATAGGAGTGTATTTTGCCTGTTGAAACCATGCAGAGGCGTGTGGACTGTTTTAGAATAGTATCTGGGTTATGTTCAGTTATATTCAGCAGTTACACCAAGCACAGGCTCTGGAGCACATTTAGATTTGGTTATAGCTGCTCCCAAAGTTCATCTGTGTCTCCATTCTTCTGTGTATGCTGAACAGAGGGGATGTTTCTGCTTTCAGAGCCTGCTAGGGTCTGTAGCAGTCAATAAAAAGGGACGATTTGCTGTCTGCTCAAACAAAGACTTGGATTTTCTGTAATCTGTAAATTGAACTCATATGTGTTGTCAGTCATGCTTTAAGGGCCTCAGCGATTCAACAAGAATGAAAGAAAAAAACACAGCAAAGCAGCTAAATCAAGTTTAAGGATGGCTCGCATTAGAAAGCATATTTTGATATCTTATTTAAACCCAATGAAATAGCAATGATCGTTTGCCAGTTGGTACTACTACAAGCAGTTAAATTTCAAATGACCAATTTTCGGGCTAATCAGTGGTTTCTCAGCGCAATTATTAAGGAAGCAAAAGACAATCATATTTAGGATAATCAAGGTTATAGGGTAAATGGCAGGCTAACCAAAACAAAGATTTAAAAATGTCAACTAAGCTTTTGTCTGTATATATCAGTGTAATCCATATTTACACACATTAAGAAGAATTACAAAATTACAAAGACTAGTAGTATACTAACATCCGATGGCTTGTATTCATCTTGGGTCATTGACAGAAGCTGCAAAAAGCAATGCAAGGACAAATTATTAAAGAAGCATGGCTCAAGCATTAACAACTCTAATTTTTTGAATACATGCATGCATATTTGCTGACTTTTGCAGGTTTGCACTAAGAAATTCAGAAAGAATTCTTAAAAAGCCAGCAGAATTGTACACTATGCTCTGTAAAATGATATTTACTGTGCCATAGCATTGACATAACATTACTGTATATTCCTGTGAATTCTAAACCAAAACTGAGAATGTTGCATTGAAATTTTAGATAGGAAGTCAAAGAATTAATCAGTATGGCATTTATACTGATTAACTGCTTTCTACTGTCTTTCTAATGATCCAATGCTTAAAAACTAAGTTTCTAAATGATCATTAGAATTACTGTAATTATAAAACCACTTCCAATAAAATGTTTATACTCATATCAATTGTGATACTTCTTTCATTTGCCAGCTTGTTTACCATTACTATTATTATGGTAGAGTTCTTGGGGCTTGAGTATATGTGGCTTAACAGGGTGTTTGTATATCCCAAATTTGCCTGCAACTCATCAAATGAAATTTCGCACTGCAGCTGGTGAGGATGGATGGTAGAAAGATGGACTTTTCCAGGAGCTTTTACACCAACTGCCTTACCTGCCCTGCTATAAATGTCCAACAAGGCACCAGCATGCTTGGAGGAAGATAAGCTGGCTGTCCCCCCCTTACCAACAAGAGCACTAAATATTAGTTATAAGGCAGATCAGATCTTTATACCTGGATATAGCTCCCTTACAGACTTTCTAGCTGTTTTGCACAAGGATGATGGCCTCACGCCAAAAGCCTGGCCCTAAACGTCTTAAATGTGGAAGCCAAAACCATAGAGCATGCTCTTATTTTACTTCCTTACACTGGCTCTTGGCTTTGTTTTATTAATTTGTACAAAATGTATTCCTACTCTGCCATACAGCCTTGATATTATGTCTGATTTATATAAATCATACATGAAGATCTTCTTACTTGCAACCTACATAATGATGCTTCCCTTAATTTCAAAATAACTGTGATAAAATTAACTGACTGATTGAAATATATTTAATGCAGAGAGCCTTCCCCCTCCAGCCTTACTTTTCTCTCATCAGTTGTATAGTGGCTTGCATACCACAGACTGCGTCTTCTCTCCGCTGTCATTGGAATTGGGCTGCAGGCTATTTCTTTGTCGTCTTCCCTGCTAACAGATTTCTCTTCATCAGGCATCTGCTAAACAGTACAAATGACAAGACTAGTTATAGCTCTCTAAATAACAACCTTAACAGAGGAATTGAAATTTTCCCCTACCTGACGCTCCCTCTCCAAAGTACATCTTTAGTGTCTAATGCACTTGATCTGACAGATGACACTTACTGAGATGACATTTTCAGAAATGATGACAGAGCTTTTCTGTAACTGCTAGTTTGTCAATGCCAAGATGTTTCCTGATAGTTACAAGACACCAGAATTACACAGACCTCCACATCCTACCTTACTATATAGTCATACCATAAGCTAGTATGCAGATGCTTAATTTTCAAGGCAGTGTATTGAAAGAAAATTCACTCTTCTCATTTGCCTATATATGTGAAAAGCTAATTTTGCTTCACTAAACAACTGAAGAACTGAAAAGATCAAAACTTTGTGAGCATACGTATCTACCACTAAAGGCTAACCTAACTCACCAATCCATGCCTCAGTATGTAACAAAGTAGTCAGTGCTGGTCATCCCTCTAGGCTCATCTAGTCTAGCTTCTGAGTCAGACCAGAAAAATAGCTGTGTATGCTCATGCTCATATGTGAGACAAGATGATTGGAAAAAGCCAATATGGATTTACCAAGGGTAATCTGATTGCTATTTGTGCTGAAACTGGCTCAGTGGATGAAGGGAGAGCTGTAAATGTCAGCTACTTTGATTTTAGCAAGGTGTTTGACATAGTGTCCCACAACATCTTTGCTGACAAGCTGGTAAGACATGGGCTTGACAGATGGACCACAAGATGGGTGAACTGGCTAGACTGTCTTGCTCAAAGTGGGGAAATGGCTCAAAGTCATGAGTGGAATTCCTCAGGGTCTGACAAGTAGGTCTGGTACTATTCAGTATCTTCAAACTATCTGGATAGAATGTACCTACACAAAGGTTGTGGATGACACTGAACTAGGAGGTGAGGTAGTTGGGCCAGAAGAAAGAACCACCACACTGAGATAGGCGAGAGATGGGCCACCAAAAAAATGCACAAGGTTTAAAAAGATCAATATAAATTCCTGAATCTGGAATAAAACCACATAACACTAAAGGCTGTGGACAGACTGTGCGGGGAGCAGTTCTGTGGAATAGGCCCAGGGGGTCCTGGTGCACAGCAAGCTGAACTTGAGCCAGCAATGAACTCCAACAGCAATGAAGGCAAACATGTCCTGGGCTGCATCAGCAAGAGTACTGCCAGCAGATCAAGGGATGTGATTATTCCACTGTACCTGGCAAGTGTCAGGCCATACCTGCAATTCAGTTCTGGCACCCCCCAGTTCAAGACAGACATAGAAAATCTGGAGAGGATCCACCAGAAAATTGCCAAGATGATTAGAGGGTTGGAGAAGCTGAAGGATGCAGGAATTGGGGTTTTTTTCAGCGTCCTAATATCTAAATTGTAGTTTTAGAGAAAATAGAAGTGCTCTTCTCACAGACAGGTATGGTTAAAGGCCAAGAGGCTAAGGGCATAATTTGCTTCAAGGAAATGCCTTCTGGACATGAAAAAAAACCCCACATTCACCACGAGAACTATTAATCATGGGCATTGGCTGCCTTTGCTGGAGACATCCAAGACTTGGCCCTGGACAACCTAATCTGAGGCCCTGCTCTCACAAGAAGTTGGATCAGATGGTCTCCAGAGGTGCCTTCCAACCTGGACTGTTCTGTGGCTCTGTGATTGTCTATGATCCACATGCTCTAATTCTTCATCTGTGACAGGAACTATTACAACTAAAATGCGGAGGATTGCTAACTCAGTGGTCTTAATTCCATCTTAATTCCATGGCCCAGCAGGGGTATGGGACCTCTCAAAGAGACTGTACATGGATGTTATTATAGCACAGTGGCAAGCGGGAGTACCTGGGTACATGTACGTAAACCACACCAGGTTACAGCTCCTCTTCAGGCTCTTCCAGACCTCTTCCTGCACTGTCCCTCTTTCTCCTGCAATCTTGAACTTCCCAGCTGTGGTGTCACAACACAGTAGAACCTTGCTGTACATATCAGTGAGAGGAGAAAGCTCAACCATGTGGTGCTAAAGGGGTGCATGTGAAAGCTGTGAGCATCTCCAGCACAGTGTCACTTAACAGGACTCACTGGCCCCAGCTTACCACCAGGGAGAAGCTGCCACTACTGAAGTCACTCTGCTCTCTGCCTTTGCCCAATTTCTCATTTTGAACCTTAAGGCCTTGACCCTACTTTTTATTTTCATTACTATTTGCCCTCTCTACCCTCCCTACTTCCTTAGTTTTCTGGTTTCTCCTCTCCTCTCAAGACTTCATGTGGTTTTTAGATTTTTGGCTTTGATGGAATAAGTATTTAAAATTTCAGAGGAAGGTGTGCGAGACCATAAAGTGAGTATTATGGAATAATAATAGCAGTGGCTATTCCACTCTGCCATCCACTAATGCCTGGATATTTATCTCAAAACTAGTAGGAATGGTGAGGATTGAAAGGTAGACTTACCTATGCTTCAAAGTACTGCTTTAAAAAACCTGTTTTCCTACGTGAAAACATGCTGTAGTACTAAATATACACACATGTGATTCTAAGAAAGAATGAAAAGTGCTTAAGTCGGGTTCTGCATTGCTGTTTGGATTACAAAAGCTCTACAAACTTGATATTGCCAAATTCAAAGAATTAGCAAAACTCCCTCTCATCACAACCTCCACCTGTATCAGTTGTTCAGAGTACTGAGCCAAATCCTCATTCGTACAGCTGTAAGATCTTCCTTCATAAACCCACCTCTATTCAGCAAAGTGCTTGTGGAACTTGGGGCAAGGTCTTACTGTCTTCAGTAGGACTTAAGTGGAGGTTCAGGAACTTTGCTCAGCTGCAGCCAAAATATAGATTATGCACCAGCTTTAGTAGCATTATTCTGAACCTACCCTGTTATTAACTACAAAACAACCAGTCAAGTCAACTAAATGTCATATTTTATTTCAACCTGAACCTTCTGTTTGTAAGGGCTAAGATTTTTCTCTTGCTTATTTTGTCCTTTCTACTTAGCAGATACTTGTATTTCTGCTTCACATGAAGTCTTAGTAAGTTGACTTTTGGTTTGCAACAGAAATATTCATCTGCCCTGGTACTTGCTGTTTTACTTAAACTCTATCTACTGCCAACAAAGAGATACCTCATGGTGTAAAAACTAGTTTTTGTCTGAACTTGAGGTGTTTCACAGGCAGTGCCCCAAATTAGGCTTTTAATGGGAATAGCTGGTGGTAAGTGTTCTCATTGCTTATGCAAAATCAGCTGATGCAATAGAATAAGAATAAATCAGGATGCTGGGCAGAGGTCTGCAAAGCTACCCATGGGAACAGGACATCCAAACATCCTAGCTGGTTTTAGAACTCTCTCCATTCCAATCCTAACAGTAAGGTCCTATTTTTTTAAATCTTGACTTAGATACACAACGGTTATTAATTTAGTTTTACTTCTCAGAGGCAATGGTAGCACATTTCACATACAATTGTGTATTTATATTTGATTGTAAATGGTATTCCTAGCCAAACTGTAAGATGAAATAAACTGATTCTGTGCTTAAAATACTTGTCAATGCCATGTGAAACTTTAATGTAAATGTGGACCATAAAGAACTGTTAATCAGCTGCATTTAGTTTGGCACCAGGGTGACCAAAACAATACCAAGAGACCTTAGATGTAGACAATGATTTTAGTAACATGTTTTTAACCTAAGAACCTATAGGGAAGGGTGGGAAATCTTGTTTTCTCTTTCTCAGACAAGAAAAAAAAGTCAGAAAACACAGTACTAGTCATATGATTACAACTTTGTGAGAGTCCTTTGACTTCTCTAATTCTTCCAGTTCTTCCACTACCTGAGCAACTCTCAAATGCCTCTTAATTCAAACAATTCTAAAAATTCTATCAGAGGACTCTACGTTAAATTGCTGAAATTCTGTTGACTTCCGTACTATTCCCTACCACTCACTGGACAGAATGAATGGACCCTATTCATATATTCAGTACTAGTAGTCACAACTATGAGCTGAAATATTATATTTAGTTTATGTACATCATTTTAGACTGAATAAGTATTTTCTTCTGCATAATCTAACACACACATTTTGTTCAAAACAGGTTTTGTTCAAGAGATTCTTTTGAATAAAATTTCTAAGATGAGCGACTTTTTGCAGTACCCAGGTACTGTAAATGAATTCCCAGCAGTATGCAGAGAACAACTGCTTTATACCAAACAGCACACAGCATATTGCCTTTGCCATCCACCCAACTACAGGTAGGTTAGCGGTGAGATCCTAAATACAGTGTAACTTTGAAATCACTGGGGATTGCAAAGGCAGGCTATATATTTAGTTCCATAATGAATCAAATGCAGCACAAATTCACAAGTCAAAAAACATTTCAATGAGAACTAGAAGACAATTATTTCTGGATCTAAATAATTGAGCACGGAGTCTACCAGGAGAAAGCTAGTAAGAGAAAGATTAATTCCTGATCTATGGCACCACTAAAGGAAAAACAAAATACGTATAGACAAAAAAAGGCCGTAAGGAGAAAGTGTGTAAAAGATGGTAAATTTTGCAAATCTCAGGATCTCTTTCTAAAAGACAAATACTTGTATCGCTGCATCCTGTGTGTCAAAAATAAGCATTAGTGCATGGGTATAATTTTCTTTACACTCTTCTCTTCTTTTAAGCATCCATTTCTCTTTGGAGGGAAGCATCATTCCCCTGGCATTTGAAGTTTCCATGGGAGTGCCAAGACTTTGTATTGCCGCTCATGTAGCCATGGGTTTGAGAGACATCAACTTTTCTTAAATTATTCTCTTTTAATACCTACTTGCTCTAGCTCAGTTTCTTAGAAAGCATCTCTAATTTGCCTTGTTTCCAGTTCTCAGAGACTGATTTTAGTGTCTTATGGGAATATCCATCTCAGACAACACAGCTATCCTGAGACAGGCAGGCCCATTTCCCTCCACTGAAAAAGCACAGTAACTAAGTTAGACCCAGCACCAAACTTTAAAATGGTGAAAGTTGGATGAAAACAACCCGGGTACTGTAAATGAATTCCCAGAGATGCTGAGATCACACAGCTCCCACTAACAGCATTTCACATGTGGCTGCTCCTCTGTGAGCAGTTCTCATGATTTTACTACACAGTTTGTGAGATGTGAAGTTTTAGTTACAGCCCCAAGGCTAAAATCGTATTATTATTTGGAAATCTCAGTTTTCACTCAAGGAAAAAAAGCATAAAAAAAAAAAAAAGCAAGTTTCCAGCTGCTGCTGCTGCAGCTGCAGAAAAAAATAATAGGAAAAAAAAACCTAAAAGAACCCAATGCCAGAGGGCACTGGAGCACAATCTTTTAAAACCTTGTGACTTTAGAAAAGCGAGTATTAAGATTTATGGAAACTTAAGACAAGATTTTTTAATAGGCTGACAGTTCTGGCATCATTCACCTTTTATTATGAAGCCCAATATATGTAAACCCCAAATATCAGACATCTCAATTCAGAGGTGATGTATTTTGTCTGCCTTTTAAGATGTTAAACTGTTACATTATCCATTAAATGAAGAAACACCCTTAAAATAAGAAAACCTTCACCATTTTTACTTGCTACTACAAACTCCACTAATTCACAGCTCAGTCATGAGTATTTTCATTGTGGCTTACAGCACTGCTAAACCTGAACTGTAAAACTCATGTCAAGCCTTAGACGATCAGGAGATTAAAATAAATAATGCTTAGGATCATCCTCTTTATACTTCCAGTTTCTAAGCTTTTAAGACACCTTTGGGTTCTTATATTCCCTTTTTCCTCTGAAACTGGAAAAAGTAAAAATTTATGTTTGGTCTCCTTTTTCTCTTGCTCTTAAATGAATGGTGGGATTTTCACTCAGGCACACAGATTCAAGAGGAAAGGTTTTAAGAAAAATTTTTCTCTACTTATGATAAAACAGCAAATCTCTGTCTTGTCAGTATCCTGTGCCAGCCTGCATCCTACGTCAGTCCTGCTAGACAAGCCCTGGGTGTTTGCCTTCTATTCGACAGCACCTACGCTACTTCATATTGATAGAGGCTTTCCAAATCAGAGTAAGAGTTAATGCTCTGCTGTTGTAGTCCCTACATAAATAGTCCTGCTGACCTGAAGAAGAATATCCATGTAACTGCTGCAAGATCAGTCTCTTGAAGACACTTATCAAAAAAACCAAATTCAAGGTACTGGCTTGCATTTGCCGTCTCTTCCCCTTAACCTTCTTGAATGTCTGCACCTCTGTTAGCGAGTATCTGCATTGGCCAGCCTCAGTCATTAGTGCTAAAAAAGAGAAGGAAGTTACCCTTACAATGGGCTCTTGCAGCCAAAGACGGATAAGAGTTGCGAGGGTGTAGTACATCACCAGCAGTAAGATTGGATTAGCATGGTGATACCAATGTAACTCTTGATTTTTGATGATCATCCACGTGCTTGAACAGTTTGTCTGAGTAAGAGAAGTCACACCGAACAACCTGTGGATATAAAAAAATCCCAACAGTTAGAGAATAAACACCAAATCTTACAATGTTTAAAACTTTTTTCAATAATTTTTGCTTACATATAAAACAGTATTTTCCACCTCATCTAAAATGCAAGTGAGTATTTTCATTCCACAATATTTAGTAAAAAGGAATATTTTTCACACTTGGTTTTCAACATAAAACATGGGAGTATAATATTATTACATCTACCATGTCCAGTGTGAAAATTTTAAATGACCTGCACCCTGTAGGTCCAGAGCTACAGAAAAAGGGGAGAGAAAATCTGGCTGCAAGGCCATTTGGCAAATCACAGCAACATGACATTTCAAATTTAGTAAACTGATATACAACACCATTCCACTCACTCTGCCAGGACAGAGCTGTAAAGTACATCTCCTCAGCACATTGAACAGCTTACTGATTTTTTTTTTTTTTTAAACCTAATCCTATTAATAATTTGCTGTCTAATTATGCAAATACTTATAAACATACAGAGCTCCACTGAATTCATAGCTATCATGAACAGAAAAGGAAAACATTCAGAAAGGCAATTGTTCTGGTCAATCAAATCATTAAGAAAAAAAGGAAGAAAAATTAATTCCATAATCAGTATTAATGTAGTTGCAGTATTAATATCAATGATATGAGATATTTTACTATTTCTGGAAAAACTGGGATCTCAATATTTCTATCAAGTAAGAAATTTATATTGAAAAAAACCACTTAAGAATAAGAAAATATCCCCAAGATTTTTAATTTAAGACAAGATGTTAGATGCTTTGTAGATGTGTTAGATGCTGAAACAAAACTAGTAGGAAGTCAAAATTAATCTGGTTCTTTCAGCGTAAAATATTTTGCAGAGTTCCAAAGAAAGTGCATAGAGTTACCAGTAGCATATGCTGGTACTCATTACAAACAGTTTTATTGACAAAGCTTTTTCTTCTACAATGCGTATGAAAGTTTTCAGTTTTTACAAGAAATAGATTTGAATCTAAGAGAAGTTTAAGGAGATCTATTTCTTGATAGAAAAAACCCCACCAAACTCTCGTTACTCTGAAAGAGTAAACCAAATACATTTGAAAAAAGTTTTTCTGCTGGGGACTTTAATCGTAAATAGTAAATGTCAAAAAGATTACTTCTAGTAAGATCCAACATGAAAGGGTGAATGAATACCAAGAATGATATTCAACAGAGATGCACTGCCTGAAATCTGCCTTTGGCTGCTATAGAGTGAAAAGAATATGAAAGAGGAGGCGTTATACCTGTTCGTTCACGGGGGGTTTGTGGCATGGGTATAATACTATTCAATGCCAGAACTAGAGCATTTTATTCAACAATTTATCAGCACTCACTTCTCATTCTGATTGTCAACATGAGCCAAAAGCTATAAACTTTAAGACTTCTAGAGCTTTTGGGTGGATCCAAGGTTGAAAAAGGAAAAAAAAAAAAAAAAAAGATCCTGCATACAAAATAAATTGTCGTAACTTAAAGGAGCTGACAGAGCTGTGTTTGGAGTTAACCCAGATTCAAACTTCCGTAGCATCCAAGCCCATCCAGGGCTGGTGTTACGGTTTGGCTTCATCTGACTGAAATTCACACTGGATTGTACTCTGTTCGTATTTCTGTCATCATAGGGGAACATCTTGTTTTGTCTGCTTGCCTCTCTGCCAACTGACTTGTAATTTTTGCCCGTCAGTGATCAGGGTTGTTGAATTCCTATTAGTTTCATCTTCTACCTCTATTTCAGAATACGTCTCTCCATCTTTGGTTCATTTTAAGCTTTTCTATGCAAGCACAGTATGAATCACCCTACTTTTGTTTCACAAACATATCAGAATCAGAGTGAAATCCAACTCTTACTGAAGTAAGAAGTCTTTCCATTGACAGTGAGTGATGAATATTTCCTACAGAAATGAGGGAAAGACTAGTTTCTGAAGGTCCTTAGACCCTTCTGCCAAGCAGACATGATTTTTGTATCACATATTCCATTCCTATAGTACCTAGCATTATGTACTATAACTATAAAGTCTCAAAATCTTGTGTGTTACTTTTATCTCCACTGACGAAACATTCCACATAATCCTACCAGTCAGGAGATCTTCTTATGTTTCAGTTAAATCCTCATTCTGTTAGTTTCATTTGCTTGCTTAAAATTATCCATACATTATACCATTGGACTAATTCTCCTCCCTTCTGGTGCTGCGTTCACCAAATACACCTAAGTTACAATGTACCTCTTCCCTCTCACTTGCCACCTGACCAGCCACGTCTTTATTTAACCCATGCCACTTAAATAATGAATCCAGAGGAACTGTTCCTCATTTCTGATTTCTCCTTGGGTTTTGAGACTTGAGAGTCACAAAGGTAAACACAGATTTCCCCATCTATCAAATTAAAAATGTACTGACATCCTGGGACTGCTCATTCTGCCTGTTCTGGCCTCCTATAAGGCTATGAGTTGCTATTCATCCAAAATTTGTGCTTCATCGTTATCTTCAATGAGAACTGCTGGTGCAGAACATTTTCAACAGACATAGAGACATCTTTCCTCATTCAAAGCTTTTAAAAACATGGGAATGACTCCCATAAAACATATAAACATTTACAGTAAGCAACATATATTAGGGTGTTATTCAGTTCTGCATACTTCATTCCACTCATGGCTGGATACAGAAGACAAAAAAACATGGAGCGACCATTTACTCATGGAAATACTCTGCTTTTCAAACAACTGCATATCATGTCAAAAACAACAGGAAGTTTACAAGATGTAACAGATTAATCTTTCCATTCTTGCAAAGAAGCAAAAATTGTATTTTTCAAAGTCCTCATCAGTATTCTGAAAAAATTATTTTATTAAAAAAAAGAAGTATGGTAGAAATAATTTGGAAAATTTTAGCAATTATAAAGGGCCAAGAGGAACTTGCATGTCTGACTGAGGAATGCTCTGAAACAACACAGTGAAAAACAGTTCTTAAAATAGAAGTTGTATCTGTTTGTCCAATTCCTACTCTATAAGCTTGTTTTCCCAGCAAATCTTCCTACTGAATCTGTGAATCATCCTTCTGGCAGATGCACTTTCATCGTTTGTGATTCCCTGACAAAGCTGTAAGCTGTGACCATGAAAAAAAAAAAACCCTACTTCTTCTATCATTCTAGCATTGAAAATTAGAAAAGCAATTTCATTTTTAACTGAAAAGAGAAAAACAAATTCCTTTTGCACCCACAGATATTTGACCTAAGGAGTTGCTGAAAAGCCACGTTTTATTACTGCATTAGGTATTTTGCTAAAACTTCTACAGCATGCATTATTTAATTATTACATTAATTATAGTATAAGAACTGGTGTTAGCAGTTAGTCATGGTATTGAATATGAACAAAAATGGTTACAAAGCAAAAAATGTAATATATGTCTCATATACAGAATTATCAAACACAGCAATTACAGATCTGTTAGGTCTGTGAATTTTGCCTCCATTAAAAATGAGGTGGAAAATTTTTCTTTGTAAAAATACATTTGTCAGTTCAGATGCTGTGTTTACTGATGTTTTAGGAGTTGATTTCAGACCAGGATTTGCCTCATAATTTCCAAGGCCAGGAAGGGAAGTAATAATTCTGACTTCCTGCACAACTAGGACATGCAATGATTCCTGTATTGAACAAACTTGTGGTTGAATTACAGTTTATAGTTTAGAAAGGCATCCAATCTTGATCTGAAATTATATCAAATCTTCTACTGCCTTATTATTTTCTACTGCATTTAGTTTCTATGATAGTTTTGTCTAGATGAGATTTCCAGTTGCTGCATCTTCCTACAACTCTGTGTACCACTTCACACACTACTTTCCACTACACAACAGAGGAAGAGTCATTTTCCTTTATCTTTGAGCTTCGCAATTTATAGCAACCTCATTCAATGATCCAGAACAAGCATCTACACTCCATCTCCACCGCACTGCACAGCCTTCCCCTCTTTGTACAGCCTAGGGGGTCACGCCTAGACACCACACAAGATATCAGAGTAGAAGCCTACATTTACATGTTTATACAAATACATTTAGGCTTCTTTGGACAGTTTAACATCAGTTAGGAACTGGGTAAAAACTGGTTTATTGCTACAGTATTAGACCTGTAATTTCTGGTCAGTGCAAAATCTTAATGCACTAATACACAAAACCAAGGGGAAAAAAAATTCAAGGACAGTTAAGCTTCCTTTTTTTTTTTTTCTCCCAAGTAATACCTGCCAGCTTGTCTTCCTAAGGAACTGTTTCATCTCTTTTGTCTTCCCAGCATTGAGTGGGCATGCTGGCCAGTTCCAAAAAACATCAGCAGAGGAGCACGAGATTAAAAAAAAAGTCACTAAATTCCTCCAAGCTACCTGAAAATGTCTGACTGGTAAGAGGAGGACATGGAGATGGAGATGGAAGTAGAGGTGGAGAAAGGAGAAAAGAGTCCCACTGTATGACAGGCTTTGGAGGCAGAGAGAGAAATACTGAATTAATGACTACCAATGTTCACCACAACTATTTGGAGATTTAGAAAATCCAATCTGAATGGAAGTGAACTGACTGTCCTAGGATTTTTCTTTAACGTGTCTGAACGAACTTGGGGTGAGCCTGTGCTGAAATTCTGACTGAGTTTAAGAACTGGGAACAAATATTGTATAAATAGTGTCACTTTAGTGACAGAAGCAATTGCCTTGCATACAGCACTTATGAATATGCATCAAAATGTATTCATATAACAAAAACATTCATGTTTTCTGCAGAAAGCCTCCAAGGTAATAACTTACAATGTTTTACAGATTCACCTCTGACTCACTAAGTGGAAGCAAAAAACATACAACATCTTTTCTCATGAGTCGAACTCAACTCCTGACAACGTGCAAACCACACATAAAAAATTCTTCAGTGCTTTCGATCAAAGAGGACGTGAAGTGATTCACAGTGGCAGGAAAATGCCTGTTATCATGTCCTATTGATTATATTTC